ATACTTTTATTGCAAATAACAAAATGCTTCGATGATTGGGAACTCAAACCCGTGGAATTGCAAACCATAGGCAATCGTTGCAAAAATTGTTTAAATGCACTTGCAGCCAATGAGACGATAATACCGCGAATGGAGGTAATAAGAATAATTAAGAAGCTTGATTGAAATGCAGGAATTTTTGTAACGATTAACCAAAAATTACAGATCGTTGAGAGCTGTGTAGTAATGCTGCTTAATTTAAGCGAGCATAATACGGTTATGGCTATGGACAAATGCTTACCACAATTGGAGTTGCCAATTGCGTTTGCTAAAACTATGTCTGATATGGAAAAAATGAAGGGTCCCAAAAAAGTAAGTCGAGAAGCATGGGATATATTGCTGTCGATGTTTGTAAGTATTCCAAAACGTACCAATGGTTCAGGCAGTGCGCGCAATTCACCAAGTTTACCTGCTTCAGTGGGATTGCGTCCGTTTTTAAAACGGATACGTAGTCAAACGTTATTCTCTGTGTGCATATCATTAATGGGTAAGATTTTGAATCTCTTAAAGGAAGATCCTAATAATGACTTAAGTGGGGAGTTCATGCAGCTGTGGCCAACAAATATAAATAAGTAAGTACAATAAGCGTTATAGAAGATTTAAAAGAAACTCTAAACATATTTCTTACGTAGTCATACCGGATACAATGGTCGCGCTGTAAGTGAGACATTGCATTGGTTGCTAACAGAAGCACTTAAATATTATCCTCAAACATTGGCTTGGCTGAAAATGAAAGGAGATTTAGAACTTGGTATGTTGTTGTTGTTGTTGTTGTTATCCGAAGATATATGTAAGGAATTGCAAAATACGAATACATGGGTTGGGATATGAATTAGGTTGGGGGTAAATAAGAAGAATAGAGGTTTTTCGAAATAAGTCATGATAGAAAAGTCTGTGGGTTGTGTTTGAAACCAGTGTGTCGAGGTGAACAAACCTTTTCACTTTAATGGATCGAAACCAACGATCAATACAGCGCAAATTATTGTATGCATTGAGACATGGAAACAGATTGACATATTTATAAGTGCCAAGAAACTGTTTTAGCACATGACTATACCCTGAACTCAATTGGGCTAGAGCAGTTTCTGGTGCATGTCCTTCTTTCCTAGAGATAGCACCCGGAGACTTGTTGAAAAGTTTATTGCTGTCTCAACGAGGATGCTGTATTTGTCTAGAGGACTATTAATCTTAAAGCAATATTATATATATGATAATATATATATGATATGAGTTTCAGAGTTTTACGTACATTTTAATACATATAATATGATATATATATATTCTTTTATTTCACAGCAAATAATAATAATGAAGCTGCAATGCGTTGCTATGTTAATGCGTTGATATCCGGTACTGAATACTGCCATAGCCCGTTGCAACGAAATGTTGCGGACGATTTTCTGATACGCAGAATGATGCGTTGTGCGGTCAATTTAGGTTGTTTCACACAAGCAACCATTTTGTGTCAGGTAAATACCATTTTCTTATCTTGTTGAGGTTGTAGACTAACTGCACTATTATTATTATTATCTATTATAGTTCATGGACGATATTGACTACAGCTTAGTGAATAAGAATCTTTCAGAGAAATCTTGCAATTTTACGGATGCGATGGACGCCTATTACAATTGTATTTGGGATGCAACCTTATTGGAATTTGTTATTAATTTACATACCAAAAGGGGAGAACACAGTCGAAAATTAGAAGCCGTAAGTTGATTAATGATTTATTTTAATTTTTCTGTATGTTTCCACATATTCAATTTTTATTTTGTGGCAATAAGTAGGATGTCCTTGTGGTACAGAATTCCTTAGAAACTGGTGTCCTTTTGCTCGACATAAGGTTTTGACAAAACCCGAGAATATGCCTGGCTAGCTCAGTCGGTAGAGCATGAGACTCTTAATCTCAGGGTCGTGGGTTCGAGCCCCACGTTGGGCGAATAAGTTTTTTTTTTGCAAAAGAATATGATAAAACAATTTATTAGCAAAAAGAAAACGAATCTTAAAAAAGTCTTGACGTTTTTAATTAGCAAATAAGATTATTTAAAATAAAATAATATAATTGTATTATATACATTTAAAATAATATAATTTAAAAATGTATATAATACAATATCTTTGCTAATACTTAAGCAGTCCCTATGACTTTTTTGTAACTATATGCAATTGCCTTAATAATACAGCTGCATAAGTGGTATTAACTTTAGGGTCTTAAAATAATGATGAAAAGATCTCTGATAAATAAATTATTCTCTTGAAACTTGGATACAAAAATCTATCAGATTTTTATAGTTTTGGAATCTCAAAACATATGCAGTGAAAACTCTGATCACTGTAAACGGACACTCTCATAATCAAATATCTCTTCTAGCTATGTAATGATACAAGTCCCCACCCAGTTATATTTTTATTATAAAGTACATATTTTCTTAAAGACAATTTTCTTAACCGAACAGAGCTGCTCTCCCCTCGGCATCCGCCTTTTCAGTAATTCGTTTTCAAAGCATGATAACTCCTCTTTTTATATATCCGGCATAGTTTTATATACTGATTAAAGCAGATATTTTTAATCAACATTAAGTTCTTAAGTTCCTAATTCTAGAATGTTAACGTTTATAGATTAGCTATAACTATGATCATAGTAACGCATAAATGGTTATCCTATAATCATTTGATAGTATTAGACCAGATATTAAACCAGACGATTGTATTTGTGATAATAATTTTATAGACAAATTATTTTGACGACTGGAGTACATCTTTTGTACATAAACATATACATAAAGGGATATGCTTGTTGGTAAGCACAGAAAGTAGTTAACGAAGATTATAGTAAATTTGCTTTTAAACTTTAAAAATAGACGCGAAACCTTTGTAATTTACAATCAAGGTTGCTCCAGAAGATTTCATATGAAGTTATAATTTCGAATGTTTAAATGCAACTCAACCAAGTGAACCTGTTGATTCATCCAGAAAAAGTAAACAACACATCCTTAAAAGCACATTAAAGTGGATACTATAATCATTGCGTTTATTATAGATGTTTTCTGACAATTTTAAATGTAGCCTAAATTTGTCGGGGGTGTAATTTCGCTTTTAAGTAGTTTCACAACTCTCAATTTAAAACATTTCCATCGGTTGACATTAAGATTAATTTAATTTAACGTTGATTAGATAATTTAACTGCTTTTGATTAATGACTTTTCAAACGTTAGAATTCCAGACAATTTCTTGTTAGCTAAAAAAACAATAATTTGATTCAACTTCGTCTTAATTTTTTTATGAAGTTACGTATTGACGGTTTTCTATATCAAACCCTATCTACGATTTGAAATCACGCTTATATTATTATCTTACACTTTTTATCTTACAAATAGAATATTGAGATACATACTTTTTTAATGTGTATTTCTCTTGGAGAAATCAAGATTGATCCCATCAAAAAATACATAAAGGATAAGCCCTGAAATTATTTACGAAATCTGACAGACTAACCAACACCGCGTTATCAAATCTCAGAATGGTTACAGGCTCCTCGGGGAGGTATGCAGATCTGAGGTCAATTATTGCTTAGTCTGATGAAGTGATAAACAATAATCTAGTCAAGGTGTAGATAGGGGTTTTGAAGAAACCTCGAGGTAAAAAAGAGTATAAGTGCTTAAGTGCACTAGCTCAAAACAGCTTCAACATAATAGCATAATAATAATATATTTATATTTTCTATCTACTATCAGATATAGTATATCTGGGGCTATCTATTAAATTCATTTGTACAATCCTCATTCTATAACAAAACTCAATATTTGACATCGACAGCATAATGCCCGGCTAGCTCAGTCGGTAGAGCATGAGACTCTTAATCTCAGGGTCGTGGGTTCGAGCCCCACGTTGGGCGAGATTTTTTTTCGTTTTTATTTAAAAATAATTTTTTTTAATTCACTTATTTTTATCCTTTTTGCAGATGTCCATCATGAGCTCCTTGGAGTTGAATGCTAACAATAATGAAGAAATAAAAAATCAAGCGGCCGCAGTAAGAAAAACACGATTTTTGCGTGCCTTAGCTAAACAGTATTTATTATAAAATTGCATTTTAGAAATGTAAATATATGAGTAAGAATCCGTATATCCGTATTAAAATCTGTATAACGTTTAAGTTATGTATAAATTATTGTATAAAATAAGTTTAAAAATTTTGTTACAAAATTTAAATTTTATAAATATATTGGTATTTTATAAATTTTAGAATGGTTCACAAAAATGTGTTCTTTTTTTTGCAATATAGGAACTAAATGCTCCTGAAATTCTTGTATCTTTATGTATTATATATTAAATTCGAATCCATTATATCTCTAAGCTGAAGACACATTCCAATCAACAATAAACATGATGCTAGTCGTAAAAATATAGATCTAAAAACTGATTAACCACTGCATTCTTAACTAAACACGTTCCCTTTTAAAAATTGAATTAAATAGTACTAACACCTGAAGATTCTGAGAACTCTAAATTGAAATTGAAGCTGACTGTCAGTAGGATAGGTTAAGCACCTCCAACTGGTTTTCATTGAAACGCATACAGCCTAGAGTCTTGAAGAATATCTCTCTAACTGGATGGAGAAGGTACATCATATTATTAGTGTGAAACTATGTACTGTAATTTGTCGTTCAGTTTCACACAAGATATTTGATTTTGATATTTGATTAGAAGATATAAGGGCTTACGCTGTAAGTGCGATTATGGAATTTGCTTTCAAAATAAATAATTTAATTTCTACTCATATAGAATATTTGACATCAAATGTCAACAAGCCCGGCTAGCTCAGTCGGTAGAGCATGAGACTCTTAATCTCAGGGTCGTGGGTTCGAGCCCCACGTTGGGCGAAGATGTTTTTTGTTTTTTTTTTTATTAAAATAGTATTTTTTAACTCACTACGAAACCTTTCTACATATTATAACACAAAATTTGAGAACAAAATTGAATATATTTCACAAGAAAATTAATGTAAAAACACAATATAACAATATCAATAATAAACAGTTGCTTATTCCGTTTTCTGAATAAAAGTATACGTGTATTAAGGAGTAAAAAGTAAGAAGTACACTAAATTTGTTAGTTCAAAAATATAAAATTCAACAATATTATTTTGGACGTCTCCCACGACCAGAGCCACCTGCTATTTTAGGTTTCTTTGCGCTTGCACTTTTTTTATCCTCGTCAGGTTTACGTTTTGCTGTTGTAGTCGATAGTACCTTAAATATATACACGGTTATTATAATTAATTAAATCACATTTTCTTCATACTATTTAAATACCATAACTATAGATATTCTTATTGTTTTACCTTGAAGAAACCATCCAAACGCCCCTGAGTTTGTGTATTCCTGGATTTTAAAATTTTTTTCACACCACCACGCACGCGTTCTTCGCTGAATTGACGATCGCCACATAAAAATTTAACTAAAGCGTCCTCATCTGGATCTGTCCATTTAAGCTGTAATAAAAATAAAATATATCAAATACGGAAATATATTACTGACAAAAGGAAACCAACGTCGATATTATCTGGATCAGCTACTTCTGGTGTTATAAATAATTGTCGTGCCAATTCAAAATTCCAATTTTCGGGAACAATATATTTTTTACGATCAATATTTTCTAAAATTGTCTCCAGATTTCGGTAGGTATTTATTAATTCAACTGCACGTTTTGGTCCTATGCCCTTAATACCCTCACAATAATCGCAACCCAAGAGTATACACAAATCAATAAACTGTGAAATGTTAAAAGCTTTAAATTCACATTAAAAATAAGTTATTTCAATGCCAACCTCATTTTGTGTTAACTCAAAACCTTTCAAGACTTTTTCATGATGTATTTCTTTAACCGGCATTTTCCGCGCTTCACTAAAAGTTAAATAACGCAACAATACATTTGAACCAAAGGTTAACGCATCCATATCCTCAGTAGCAGTGGCAAATACTTTGCCTGATTTAACTAAAGCAGCGCACTGCGCTTCAGCTTCACAAGGTGCTTCTACAAACGGTACACCCATTAATTTCAATAATTCTTTTGCCTCATTTGCATGATCTTTAGTAACGCGCACAAGCCTCCTATTGAACTTATCAACATCAGCCTCATTGCCTGCTTCTTTAGCGGCTTGTAACGCCTTTTCTGCTTCCTCTCGACGTCCGGCACGTTTGGCTAACTCACCGGATTTTAAATCTGGTGGTTTACCATCAAAAACGTAAACAGGCTTAATGCCATTATCCAGCATGCGTATTGTACGATAGAACATGCCCATCAGATGCGACGTAGTTTCACCATCTACGGTTGTTAATTGTGCACCTTCTGCACGTACTGCTATTAAGAACTGATATAAACACATAGAAGCATCAATTGCTACCTTACGTCCTAAAATAAATTAAAAGCTGTCTTTATGATTCTTCACTTAGTTATGAGAAATTAAGGCTTTACCAAAATAATTTTTTATTTCATTATCTTTCATTGCGAAAGGAGCTACATCAGCGATTAATTTTGAAAGTCCTAGAATTCCCATAGCGAATGCTCTATAATAACAAATTTAATAAATATCAATAATGCAATCTTTATTTCCACGGTATATTTTGACATATGCGAATTGGCGGGTTTTATTGCATTTTTGTTTTGTTGTGCACATTTTTAGTACAAACCTATGATAGCGAAATATGTATGCATGGATGAAAGTGATTTCATGATTTATATAAAATACTCGGCTTGATAAACTGAATGTTTAGAATTACATTTTGATTTGATTTAAATACAATTAGCAAAAAGTCATTATATATAAACAATATTTTATATATGACTTATTTTACTCTTAGTTTATATGAAAAGCAACTTTTTGAACAACAGTTAGTCAAAGTTGGAACTTGTGCAACAGAGTGTGAGTAGCGCAGTGGTATAACAACTATAAAAGCCTATTTCGTAGTCGGAACTTGAACTCAAAACTTTATTAGTTTAAATATGATTGGGACAATAATGTTGATGACTCAAGCACGACTTAAGTTAGTATAGAGACTTAAGTTAGGACTGTAAAATCGGCACTTATTGTTTATGATACTCTGTTCATGTGAAAAATCTAAATGTACTTCAAAGCGTAATAAATAAAAATTAAAAAATGATTAATTATTTAAATGTTTCTAAAGAACTTTCATATAATAATTAAATAATAAATTGTGGCTTATTTTCTGTTCAATAATTCATCTTATTTGTTACTAGTGACAGAGACAGTGTTCGGTATATTAAATTCGATTAAAAACTATGACGAGGCTGGAGTCGCGGTGCAATAATTATATAAATTGCTTACCTTATTCTAATAAAGTTCATAAATTATATTATATATAATAAAACTAATTTTACAGAATGTTCCAGCTAAAACTTCTATCATAATTAATGCCATTTATAGTAATTATATTTACATACAAAAAAATTTCAAAATAAATATTATATTATTAGTTAATCGTTCAACACTTCTTCGCTAATTAAATTTAGCCTATTAATCTAATACTAAAATTGTGAAGTGAAAAATTGTAATATCGCATATACATAAGTACAACGGGATTAACTAAAAGTTTTCATAATTTAGCTCATTAGTATGCCTTGTAATATATTAATCTGTTGAAGGATTAAGGATCACCTTTTATACATATTATTTAGCAAAAACGAAACACTTTAATATTTTAGCTATTTAGCATAAGTTTAGAGTGCTAAATAAATGTCATGAACAGACCTACAATAAATTTTGCACAAATCTAATACAAATTATATAAATCTATAATTATTTGTTTATTTAAAAGTTTGCATTTAAAGTATAAGAATATTAAATACGGATAAGATGGAAGTATGCCGAACTTATTTATTTAACTATATCATGAAATGGAAAAATTGTGTGCAGTACATATCGGCTATGTGTACTGAATACTGTACTAACTACGAATAAAAAAGCACTTGTGCAACATGATTTTTTATGCAAAAATTGTTAAAATGCAACAGTGTTGTGCTAGTTACGCGCTGGACAAATATACA